AAGATTATATAATAATTTAATGTTTTCCGTCCCGTTTTTGCTCATATCTCGGAGACAAAATGAGCAAGAACGATCATTACAGATACGATCATTACAGTACATCATTCTAGACAGAAATAAATGGCCTTTTTAGAAAGTGAACAATCGATAAGGAAATTTTGGCAGTTTTCTCAAAAAACGCTTGAATTCAAGAAGTTTTAGATCTGCGTGGTTTTTTTTGAGTTGCAAAATCAGCTACCACCATTCGAGCCAGAGAATTCGTTTTGGCATCGTTGGATAGAGAATTGAATGGGGGGGTCATGACCCCCATGACCCCCTGGATTCGCCCCTGGAAACCCCCCTGGATTCGCCCTTGCTTTACATAGGTACCCTTAGAAACTTTGTAATAAAAGTTTAAGGAATTATTTTCTAGCTTATTGACTCACCGGATTCGCAAAAACCATGTTTGCTGTCTTTGTAGATTATTGTACATACTTTCCTGACTGTGTTTCAATTCCAAATCAAAATCAATTTCTGGGCTTCAGTCATTTATTGTCTATTTATCAATTAAAATACTTGTATATATACTCAATTAAAATACTGGCTACTTTAAGCCAGCTTTAAAAAGCTTTAAAAATATATGCCAAGGCTTAAAGTAGCAACAACGCTACACATAGAAACTGATGATGGTGGAAAWCACCGAAACGTATTTTAATTGATAAATATACAATAAATGACTGAAGCCCAGGAATTGATTTTGATTTGTAGATTATGCCTTTACGAACAATTTATCTTGATAACGTTTCTTATGCAAATGCGTTTTTCTGCCACTTTTCCACTGTTAGTCTTCACAAAATTCGAACAGCATTCATAACCGCAACGATGCTTCTGATCTAGTTTTTTTGCAATTACCTCAGTTTATAATTAGAATACCATTTGGTTATGGGAATTTTGTAAATATTGTCAGCGCAAAAGTGGTAGAAAAAAGCATTTGCACATGAAACATCAGTAAAATGCAAGAGAAATTGTTTTGAGAGACTTAATCTATATGACATGGGTTTTCGCGAAGTAACTGAAAAAGAAAAGTACCGAAACAACGTCCAGGGGCAATTTTAAATAAAAAATAACAAATAAACAAAATAAAAATCGAAAAAATAATAGCTGCACATGCAAACGCTCTAAAACCTCGTTAACTAATGCACACTACCTGTTGCTCAAATGTCTATCACCTCAACCCAGGGCTGCTACTTTTCACTACTTTGATCAATCAAACCTGCCGGAATATGAAGCTTACTTCTGTTATACGATAGCCTGACAGGGCACCAAAGCCCGTTGATATTTTAAATAGAACCCGCCAATTAGTTCCGGCATGAATGCCGGAAATGTTTTTACTTTTCGGTCGCTACAATCGATTCGGAAAATGTATCCTGCAAATAAAACACACGACGAACAATAAATTAAATTTACTTAAAGCCGTTTTTAGGTAAATAACAAACAGATTAACCGCGGCGGATTCTTTGGTGCCTTAATTATTCCTGTTCTTGATCATTTTTTCCATCCAGCTATTTGGCGAATTGACCAAGCAGTTCGTCGATGTGCTGTGAAGTTTCTGCGAAAATCTCATCCGTCGATCTCTCAGCATGAATCTAAAGAAGTTTGTTTCAAAAAATGACAAATGTTAAAATTGTTCTGTGCTCTTCGTCGCGCTCAAAGTAAGCGTACTTAGAGCGCGTGAGAATGATTGGAAAACAAAGTTTTTATCAGTGTTTTACTCGAGCCTCTAAAGCTGGTAACCCAACATTTTTCAAGCATGTGCATAAATTATCAGTTCATCAGTAAATAAAATAAGTACCAGCAGCTTACCCTTTTCAGCTTGTCTGTGTACTGTTGAACCACTTGGTCATTGTGCGTATTAAACGTATTGAGCCTCTTCTTAATGGTTTCCTCATTGTCGTCCACTCGTCCGGAAGTTTTAGCCCTTCCCAACAATCTAACAATTCGACATCGCTGTTAAACATTTTCCCGGCATTCCTTCTAACTCACCTCTCAACCAGCGTGGCTTCAGAAGCGTCATAGAATATGACAAGATTCACCGGTGCAATGGTTTTCTCAAACAGAATACCCTGCTCTTTTTCTCGTGGGTAGCCATCAATTAGATACCCCTTGGAGGTGGGCAGCGCACTCAAAATAGCCTCCCTCAGCAGGTCCAAGACTACCTCCAAAGGCACCAGTTCGCCTCGTTCCATGATGGCCGACAATTCTTGGCCTCTGGAGGATCCACTGCTAACCTACAAGCGGGAGGAGCAGCAAGTTAGTTGTGAGAGCGAAATCAGGGAGTGGGTGGAGTGTTTACTTCGTTTCTGAGCAGATCTCCGGAGGATAAGTGAGTGAATCCATATTTGGCTACGATTCGGTCACATTGGGTTCCTTTGCCTGAGCCTGGTCCTCCAAGGATCCATATGATGGGCACGTTAATGGCAGGTGTGGAAGCCTGAAATTTCTTGTTTCGATATTGTTTTGGAAAATTATGTCTTTGATTAAAGACACTGCTAACGCCGCTAAAGTTCTTCCAAGTGTTTCAAAGATTACATTTTTTGCTTTGTCCTTAGATTTTTATTTTTTTTTATAATAAGTTGAAGGATGTTGTTTCATTTTCTATCGAGTACTTCTTGTTTGAAAGTGTCTTTCTGTAAATGCATGGTAGTTTTTCCAGTGGTGTTCAGACGGATAGGTACGTTTATGTATATTTTTTGACTGTTTTTTTAGCCATAATTGCATGGTTTTTTATGTGTACTCTGTTGTAGATTCGAATTACCGTGATTCAGAATCAAAGAAACAATTCCGCTCTTAAAGATTTACGTGATTGAAAATGATCCACGAGCTCTAAACCGACGTGCCCAAATTAGCCGTAATATTAAGGAAAAAATGCATTAAACATTTGAGCAAGAAATGGTGAAAATGATAAAAGATCAGAGAGGAGATACAAGAAGTAGAAGATTGCCATTTGAGAAAACCAAAACAATATTACGAAAATATTTGATAACTGAAAGCGCGGATTCAGATAAGGCAGAAATTCGGCATTCGAGAAAAAATATATTAAGAAAATATTTGATTTGGGTCAGGGTCAGATGAGGCAGAAGATTGGCATTTGAGAAAACTGAAAATAGAGGAAAGAAATATTTAATAATCACAACGAATGCCACTGAAAAAATTAAATTTTGAAATTTAATGCAGATTTTTTTATGTACAATTTTCTGAGCCAAATGTTCAGAACAATATCTAAATTTAATATACCCGGTGATTCTGAAGGTGAGCATCAAGGTGAATAAGATGGAGATCGATGTCTCATTTAATCGAGCAAAAAATTACGGGAGTTTAAAATAAAGTCCCTTAAAAACAAATATTTCAAAGTTCTTCAAATACTGTTCCACTCCAAATCCTTGAAAGGTAAAGCACTTTTTCCACTACAGCCCCTATACACAATTCCTCACTTGGATTCTCAAAAAAATACGTTTAAGCAGGAAATTTTTACAAATTAATTAACTCACCATGATAAGAATTTCAAGTGGCAGACAATTATCTAAATTGTTTCACGCAACCAACAAGCTACTATTAAAATAACTGAGCTTATTCACAATAATTTTAAACCGCTACGAAATCATTCGTTATGTATGAGCGAGCCTGGCGAGATCCGCGGCCAAGTAAGTTTTGCGCAAAGCTCAAGGTTGTTGTTTTCAAAAGTCACATTTTCAGTTATTTATGTTTAATCGTTTTATAGCTTATAAAACGAAACAAAAAATGCCAATTTTATGCCAAAGAGAAAAGTTATTTTGGGAAACATGCCGAGGCTTTGTTGATTACGCGCCAAGACCTTAAAGTGTGATAACAGGGAATGGAGAATTAACTAGAATAAATCGCCAGATAAAATTTAAACTAGCAAAATTTACCTTTTTTTTGCCTTGACAACTTTCCATTGAATCAGACTTGCAAGCTTTTATGGGAAAATTAAAAACAATTATGGGTAAATTAATTAAATTAAATTGGAAAAACGTCAAAGTTTTGACAACTCTATAACCGCAATGTGTGACACTGACAAATGAGTGACAGATCTGTTAGGCTTCAACTGAGGCCGCGAGTAATGTGTCACATTGACAGTGGATAAACAGGTTGGAGGAAGTAAATGTAGCAATGTTGATTTCAGGCTCATATTTTGAAAGTACGCAGGATTTTTTTTGATTCTACAGCATGAACTGGTATTTTGCAGCACCGAATTCAATCAACGAGAACAAAATGATATGGATTTGGGTAAAACAAGCACTCTCAGGAACGATTTCGAACTTAATTTAAATCAGCTGGGCATGGCATGTATGTATCATCTGCAAATACAGTCTAGCTGAAGAGGACTAATAGGTCTAATAAAGCATGTGCTTGTACCACGTATTTACGACTAGGTAATTAGTCAATAAACTATTTCCAGTCCAATTCAAGTTTTATAGAAACCTCTACATGAATCAAAAGGATTTTGTAAAAAGACTTTGCTAGAGCACTAGAAAACTCATATGAGAAAATCGGTATGATACTGTTATGATAGTTGACACACCGGAAGCTTTCCATCCACTAAATATTCGAGGGGAAAACAATTTACACTAAGAAAGAAAGTACAATATTATAATGTATTATATATATATATATATATATATAATATTTTTCCAACAAGTCAATCATATTTGCCGTTAAAATTTGCGAGTTAAAACTACAGATTGAATAAAGACGATTAAAAACCAAAAAATTGGTAAGTGCAATTTCCTTCTTGCTGAGAATCTGAAAAGCTGATTGTTTTTTTCAGTAGATACATTTTTTTAAATTAAAATTTGAAAAAGAGAGTCAACAAACATGTTTGCCTTTTCCACACGTCAAGTAATTTTTTTTTTAAGAATTGCTGACTTTTTCAAAAGTGCAAAAATTTCTATTTTTGATTTTACGTGTTTTGTGAGCCATTCATTTAATCAATAGTTAGGATCCTACCTGACTTATGTGAATTACAACAAATATAAGGTACACATGGCTAAAAGCGCGACTCATTAATAGTTGGTCATTTCGCGTGCAAAACTCTAATCTACTACTACTAAAAATACGCGGCCGATTTGAGCAAAGGTTCGATGTGGGAGTACGCAATGAAAATCAACAAAAATCTCCTGCGTCAATTCGCAGCTTTAATTTTGAAAGTTTATCACTTAATAAACCGCGCTCATAGGCAATTAAATTTTAAATTATCTGCTCAGTAATGTAAACTCAGTTTACACTTACATCGTTTTCCGAATCCATAACCTTTGAAAGGGCGCCCTTCACTTGCCTTTCCTAAGGGTTGAGCTGTCCCTGCAACGACCCAGTTTCGACTGAACTTGAACTGGATGACAAATAGAGGCGCTTTTGCTCTATCCTTCTCGGTTGAGTCACAGAATCGATAGCTAGTCCGAAAGAACAGCTATGATATTATAGAATCAATATGAACTTTTTTGATAAATAATATCTAAGGTATTTTGCCTTTGAAGGCGATTATTTCAGAGTCGTCCAGGCCGACGACAAAGCGGTGTTTGCTGACGAAAAGTTTGATAAATTATTTATTTCGTTAAATGGGGCACGTGGACTGTCTAATTGTTTTAAAGTAAATAGTCCTTTAATGATTTATTGATGAAGTTTTGAAACTAAAAATGCAAAAGGGGCGTATAAGTATGGTAAACGCCAAATAAGTAGGTAAAAAGGTCTAATTATAATTCTGCAATTTTTTACAATCACTACTGTTCGGTCTTTTTAAACAACCGATACTGATCCACTACTCAAAAACCCGGCTGGCGCTGCTCTAAATGCAGCGGAATATCCACTTAAATCACTGCCTTGTTTGAGCAAGATAAGGGGAAATCGGTGTGCTGTGCGGGTGTTTGAAGGGGCGCATAGAGCACGATCTTGTGGCGCAAACTAAAAAGTTATTTAGCGGTCGCGTGAACCGGTTATGGGTATTCGACTGGTCGCTTGTATTTGCGTGGTTCCATGCCGTTTGCACTCTTTTAGCATTTATTACAACGCCAAGTATTTGGTATTGTATTGGGTTTATGACAAGAAAATTAGAATCGTAATTATTTTTTGAATAGTTGACTCGTTCGTGAAAATCTTCAACTAATAAAATACACTCTAAGAGCTTATAATATTTTTATTGCGATACGTAACAGGTACTGTGGGCATATGAATTATAATCAAACATCAAAAATTACACATATAAATTTTCAACAGCAAATAGCAATAGTTGTATAGAAGGCTTACTTCACAGGTTTTCCGAAATCCTTATTTGATACTGAAGGCAACTTCAAAGAATAACACACACAACCTGAATTTAAGAAGTTTTTCGATTTTTGTACACTCGAAATATTTGTTTTGGAGTTACCAAGTGTAGCAAACTGCTTTAGTTATTGTTAAACAGAACTAAACAGGCATTTACATACTTAACCACTACGAATGCAAAACGGCATTTTTATAAACTATAAGAACATCAAAAAGGGGTTTGGTGACTTCACTTAATGCATAAGGTCTTCATTGTGTACGTATAAATATTTACATCTAGAAACATTACAAAAATACTTCCTTCCTAAATAGATTTAAAAAAGTAACATATGAGGGTCGCATTCCCGAACCAAAGCAGGCACTTTTTCCACCCCTTATCCTATAATACTCCGTAGGCTTTACAAAGAGTAATAAGTGGGAAACTTTTGAGTAGAAGTGCTGGTGTTTAAAACCGAAAGCAAAAGTTGTTTTGGACCCTTTAAAATCACGTTGCTTATTGCCTGGGTTGTTTGAAACGAGCGTCTCGCCCTATTGGGGTAATAAGGCACAAATTTGTTGAAATAATAAGTAAGGAACATAGTTTAATTGCTTAAGATAGATTCGGTTAGTTGAATAAAACTATGATAAACTTATTGCTTTAGAACTACAGTACAAATTATCATTAACAATCTTATTTCGTTAATTGATTAATGTATCCGTTTGGCCACTTTCCTTAAACTAAGTCGCAGTTCGACCAGAAATATCAAGTTTCATGCACCAGTTACCCAAACAATAAATTCTTCAATTCCAAAGAGTTCGGTTGCAAAATAATATTTAAAAAACCAAGACACATAAACTTGATATTAGTAGTCGCACTGGCCTCACCTTAATTACTAAATACTACTTAATAAAAGTCCAAGTGAATATCCTCTAAATGCGGAATGAGACAATGTCCTATTTGTACTATAAGTCGTAAGTTTGCCCAACAAAAAATACGGTTTGAGTCTTACCGGCTATCTTATTCATTAATCAAGTTAAACAAAACTACAACAAGATATTTACAGACCATTAACTGGACTTAAATAGCCTCAGTTAATTAAATTGCTACAAACGACGCCATCACTAATAAATGTGTTTGCGCGACCAGCACGAAACACCCCAATCACCATAAAAACCTCTTCATCACAGCCTTCTTCATCGTTCATACCGCAGCAACTAAATATGACTGTCCATGTAGCTGAGAGCGTCATGCCGATGTCCATTATCTAGACTGGCAAATACCGGGATCTTAGAAGGCGCCCTAAGATGCCCATTCCCCACTTGTGCCACCCCCTGAGCCAAGTTCGCAATGCCATTCATATGATTGGCGACCTTTCCATTAGCCATGTTTGAAATGCCATTTTCCACCACCCGTTTGCTAATGGTATCGATGGCAACTGGCTCTTCCAGATCCAGCAAAGTGGCGTCGCCATTAGGGATGTGACCTGCATGAGAAACAGTCTTAAAAAGGACAGTTCCACATGGAAAACAGTGATGGTTTACCATTCTGCAAATGTCCATTGGGGATGTGCCCGTTTGCAGTCGGAATGTGTCCATTAGCAGTGGGAATGTGTCCATTAGCCTGGACATGGTTAGGCTCCGCTTGCGGAGCTGGTGGTGGTTCGATGTTGGATAGCATGTAGTCGATGTGTTCTTTTACCACGTTTTTGAAGTCCTCCTGAACTGGAGCTGTATCCGTATCGCCATCCACCTAAGAGAGAGGAAATTGGGTTGGATCCAAGTTAGGAATTTACAGCAGATTTTTTGGATTTTACAGCGGATTGGTCCACAAGCGAATCGGATAAACTGAAGAGGCTTCTGCAATGGCAGAGTTTCGAAATCAATTGCAGAGCCATATAGAAATGTTTCTTTGATAAAACCCATGGTCATCGTTTGATTACTGCATTAATAAGATTAGGGACTTCAAGTCATTCTCTTTTGTATTTCGCATAGTAGAAGGGAAATTATTAAATTGTATTGAACGTTCCTCAGTAGCTGTAGAGCAATCAAAGAGACTCTATTTTCTTCAGCATCTTTCGAATTTTCTATTGGATCCACTGGATTGGAAGAAATAAAATCTTCAGGCAATTCTTCCGCATATAAATGGATGAACATTTTAAAAATCAACTCACTATCGTTAATCTCCCGATGTTATCCATGGCTTTGAGCATGGGCAATGATGACTGTCTGAAAATCTCCAGCCGCCTCCTAAAGGCCGTAACGCTGTCATCCAGACGACCTTTTCCCAACTGCAACTTCGAACAGTCCAAGAGAATGATTGTGGGCTTCTGCTTGAACTAAAAATTAATCCTGCATCAGAAACCTGTAGGTAAAGTAATGGCGAAAAGCAGTTGAAACTCTTCGACCCGTTTTTTCACAGACCGAACTCATCTTCAAGTAAAGAAAACTTTTGAATCGATTAACTGGTAAAGTTTTCTATCGTTTTCCACAGCAAGCAAATATAAAACGAAGCGCCAAAAATAGTCAAAGGCCGTCGCGAGGTGGTTCAATGGAAAAGTTGGAAATAAACACAGCTGGTCGTATCAGAAATTCAGTTTTCGTTTAAAATTAATTCGGCACTCCATGCGGGGTCTCTTACAATTTGCATTATTAATAAAATAATTATGGGTTTGGATCTGGCCAGTTGGAAACGGTTCGGAAGAAAGTCGGGAAAAAATACCGAGAATACGTAATAGTGTAATTAGGTGCTTTGCGCATGGAACAAAGTTATTAGCAACTGGGGAAAAACTGTCGGGGTCTTTATGAAATAATAAATAAGACTGAGTAAAGATCTGATGTCACGCGATCAGCTTGAGGACACTTTGAAAGGCTTCTAATGTATCAATTTGCTCCCATTAGCCAGACCAACCAGCGTGTGTATTTTCGATTTTGTTACTTATTAAAATTGTCTTTTACTATGAGTTTTTGCGTTTTTTAATAGATTTTGAGTGGCAAAAGTTTTTTCCTATTCTGTGTTTAGCCAGACTTTTCCTGTCTGTCTAAGCTTAAAAGTAGATTTTCTGGTAAAAGTAGCTCTAAACCGCATTAGCTGTGAACACCGAAAACGACCATTACCAAAGGCCAACCCTAAAAGGTTTGCCGATTTGCTTTCAAGCAAATAACTTTCAAATTGTTTGGAATAATAATTCATACGCTGCCGGCAATAATGTTCATAATCATCGATTGTTCGTGCATTAGGAAATTGTCTTGTTCAATTTATAAAGAATTAGGGTCTGTCCAGGCGGGAACACAACACAAATTGCTCTGAAACTACCGACATTTTTCGGTCTGTATTAATAAACCAGCGGATTTTCAGGATTAGGCGCTAATGTCCTTGCTGACAGCATATAACAGCAAAAACACGTTTTATAATTAGTTTTTGATAAATAGCGTTTTATACAAGAAGATAATGCCTTTTAAGCACGTGAGAAAAGGAACGGTTGAGGAGAATCAACGAGTTTCTTGAGTTGTTTTCGGTTATAAAACCGAACTGTAATGAAGTAAAGCGTGTGCAAAAAAAGTTTAAGCAATTTAGCAAGAAAAATTGTAAAAAACAAATGAGATTAACATGGCAAAAGCTCCCCCATTTTTCGAGTCCCTAAACTATAAAATTTAACTTTAGTTTTTTGAATCATCAAAATTATATTTCAAATATTAAGAACAAAAGCGTAAAAATGAGATAAAAATGGATCCATTAAAAAGAATTTTGAAAATCCGCAACAAGTAGCTCAGAAAGCGGTTCAAACAGAATATTTAGCAATATTATTGTAACATTGGCTCCATTCCATCGCAAATTCTTTGAAACTTACTAAAAAAAACAATTCCTGAGAATGTCTCGCATTTACAAGGAAAGTTTGTTGAAATCTTCAGTTGAATAGGAGAGAGCAAATCGAGATTCCATAAAACGTACTTGCAAAAAATCACATAAAGCAGTTAAAAACACTCAAAATCATCGATTAGCAATAACGCAATGAATAAATCTAAGTTTTTATTGAAGTTTTTAAGATTCGCAACTAACCGGCTTTGAAACACTCAACACTGCAATGAATCAGTTGCATTCAGAGCATGTTGAAAACCCTCAAAAAATGAATAAAACTTACTTTCAACATTAATCCAAAAAGTGAATCATTACATAACAGTACAAAATTAAAATCCCAAAAAGCACTCATATGAGCACTAATTTTCCCGATGTTTCAAATTACTCACTTGAATCTCAAAGTCCAATGCTTGTTCCATATCCCTTGGAAACCCATCCAGGATAATCCCTTTGGCCTGAATATTCTGTTCCATCTGGTTTTCCACGTATTTATTGACCAGATCAAAAGAAACCAGCTCTCCATTGCTGAGCGACTCTTTCAGCTTCGCCATGTCCCTGCTATGGCCTGGATTTGGTTCTTCCGCCACACCTCTTAAAAATTCAAACAGCGTTTTTTAAACTCCCGTAGTCCCGTAGAAGACCGTGGTTGGTTTGCTTACCTCAATATCTTACCCAGACTGATATGCACCCAGTCATTTTCTCTCGCAGCCACTTCGCACAGCGAAGCTTTGTTGCTGCCTGGGCCTCCAATTACCCACAAAACCGGTGGGTAAGTCAGCGGCTTTACTGGGGAGTTGAAATTTGGTACTCCTCCATTTCCCACTGAGATCACTTGCGTTTTGGGTCTGTCCGGCGAAGAAATGCCGTTTTGCATTCTCAGAGGGTCGGGCAAGACCGCGTTTTGCTGGAAGAAGGAAAAAGGGTCGTCGATAGAGTTTTTACGAAGCGCTGATTGGTTGCTTACGCGAATTGGCAGCTCTGATGTGGTATTAGTAGGCATGGGTATCGCAGTGCCATTAGTGAATTCGGGTGGATTATCCTGGTCGCCTAGAATTTGGAAAAATGCCGCCCTGAAGTCTCGATAAACGTCTGCAGGCGGTCTTTCACCATGAATCTGTAAATTTTTTCAGTTGAATTTAATGATTGGATTTTTTTCATAAAGTTTCCATCATAGCGAGCATTTTGCAAATTATTCATCTTGTAAAGTTGTGCCTTTCATGTTGAAACTCGTAAAATTTTAACATTTTGTGAACTTACAAACACTTTTTCATATATAAACCTTCTACTTTCGGATAACGGACTCTTTGCAAAAGCAGCTTCGAAGAAATATTTTGAAAATTTTGAAAACGTCTTTTTCTTATTCGAGCTTGTAAAATTCGCACAGGTTGGATACAGTTGGAACGGAAATGACATTTTTTAATTTCTTTTGAACAGCAAATTTCTCACTTCGTGCGAATTTAGTTCAATTTGGGGGAGACCTTTGCGGAAAGTATCATCATTGAGTATTATTCAAACTTCAAACTATTTCAGATTTAAAGACAGGAACTTAAGGTTGAAGAAACTAAAATTGATAGTGAAAAAATGAAACTTTTCAAAGTAGTTATAGTTAATACAAGCGGCTGTTAAAGCAGATCAAAATTTGTAAGTTTAAGGCGTGAAAAATCTTTTTCTTCGTGAAAATTTAAAGCTTCACTCTCTTTTAAAACCAAAGTAAGGAATCTTAGCGTAGAGGCTTTTTGAACTCTGGTTAACTATATGGAATTGTTGCAAATTGCGCTCAAATCGAGAAATAGTCACAAACATAAGCGCTTTTCTTTAAAAAGATGTAAGGCGGCCAAGTTGGTTATTCGTCAACGGAGCCTTAGTTTGTAAGTGTGCAGAATTTCAATGAATTGCGCTCAAATCTATAAAAATTAAAATTCAAAATTCACAGCTGACAAGCCGAAGCAGGTGTAACGAAGCCAAATCGGATATTTGCAACAGAAGATTTTATTCTTAAGTTTGCAGAATTGATAAATTCAGAGCTTTCGTTTAGTTTCTACGAATTTTTTAAACTGCACTCCACTCCAAAAATGGTCGCAAACGCGAGTTTTGATGAAAAATTCAGAACTTCCAAACTAAAGTAGATCTGGGTCTGCAGAGTAGGAGATTTGCCACAAAAACCTTCGTTTTCAAGCGTGCAAATTTGAAAAGATTTAGAGTCCTTTGTCACTTTCTAAGAATTTTCAAATTGAGCTGAAATTTAGAAATAATTGCAAACAAGTACATTTTTCACATATGGAAATGTTTTTCGGGCTTTGAAGCCGTGATCCATGGGAATTTCTTCCGGACGTTTCGTCCACAACTGCGGTAGACATTATCAAAGGCGATGAGACAGTGGGCGAAGTGATCTCCCGTGCTTTCCGACTAAGACTGGTTCAACTACTGGATCCCCTGTCGTATTTATGCGTCCCGCACGTGTGAGCTCCAGTAGTTGAACTTAGTCGGAAAGCCCGGGAGATCACTTCGCCCACTGCATCATCGCCTTTGATAATGTCCACCGCAGGTGTGGACGAAACGTCAGGAAGAAATTCCCATGGATCACGGCTTCAAAGCCCGAAAAACATTTCTATGTGTGATTTAACCGGCCGTGAAAGCCTTCATAGTCTGATAAGTACATTTTTGTTTAAAAATTCACACCCCACAAACCAAGATGAAAAGCGGGAAAAGTGGATATTTGCTAAAAAAGCATTGTTTCCGAAGTGTGCAAAATTTTGATAAATTTGTATTTCCAGTTTAATTTCTACGATTTTTCAAAATTACGCTCAAATTCAAAAATCATCCCAAACGCGCGCTTTTTGTTAATACATTCTCAACTCGCCAACTGAAGCAGATGTAAAACTGGTAACTTGGATGTTGCGACAGAAGCTTCATTTTGTAAGTGTGTAGAACTTCAATAGATTCAGAGTTATTGTTCAGTTGTTCAAATTTTTCAAAATTGAGCTCAAATTCAGAGAAAATCTCACGCTTTTGAATAAAAATTTGCATCGCACAAACTAAGCCACCTGTAAATCGGCAAACTTGGATATTTGCAAAAGGAGCCTTAGTGCTTACACCTGCGACATTTGATAAATTTAGATCTCCAGTTTAATTTGTACGATTTTTCAAACACTTTTGCAAATTGCGAAAATGTTAAAAAATTCACAACTCGCAAACTGAATCAGAAATTAAGTTGGAAAGTTGGATATTTGCCAAAGTTAAGTGTGAAAATAGTGCGCTATATACAATTTTGTTTAGTTGCTAATATTTTTTGAAATTGCCCTTAAATCCAGAAAAAAACCGAAAACATTTTGTTTGTGCGCTTTTGTTTAAAAATTTGCAGCTCAGAAAGTAAACTAGATATAAGCGGAAAAGTTGAATATTTGGAAAATAAGTCCGTAAATGTACAGAAGTTGGATAGATTCAGAGCTCTCGTTTCATTTCGAAGATTTTTGGAAATGCGCTCCAAACGCACGCTTTCGGTTAAGGCAAGCGGAAGCGGAACTGAAGCTGAAATGTTTCGCTGGCTGAAGAGAATTTGCCAAAAAAACATTAGTTTTTAAGTGTTCAGAATCTCGATAGATTCAGACCTCTTGTTCAGTTTCTAAGATTTTTTGAACTTGCGCTGAAATCCAGAAATAGTAGCTACACTAGACTGATGTCATAGTAAGCTTTCAAGCGAAACATCGCGGAGGATGGAAGCCACTCGTGCTTGCGAAACGTCAGGGAGCAATTCTTTTCCGCGATAATTTCAAATCCGAAAAAACTCACCAGTTTGGTTTTATAAAAAATCAACCCAAAAAAATGACGTTTTAGCCCCAAGTTAAAAAATGATTGTAAAACCCTTGAAATCGTAATATCGATTTAGAATTTCAAAGTTCATTATCTAAAGGGAATCACGGATTGTTTACAACCTTGACCAGCCCTAGGTTAAAGTGCGTCCTCAAATTCATGTTTTCCGCAAAAAAACGACTCGAAACGGTAAATTAAAGAGAATCCCATTAATTATTCGAGTGGTGGTGGTCTGCTTGTCAAAGGAACACGCGAGCGGTTTTGAGCGCAAGTTCACGAAGAACCAGAACTTTCCAATTTAAAGCGCAGCTTCAGATGTTTATCGGCCCTTACCTTTCAACGTGTATAAAATTGGAATTACAAAGTGGTGCTTACCGATATTAGTAAGTTGCTCTGGGCAAAGTACTGCGCTACTGGGATCACGTTTTTATAAAAATTATTGAGTTCCATCTTAGCTAGGGACAGGACAACTTGTCCCAATTTGGCACCGTAGTCGATCTGTCGTTCCAGAACCTTTTGTCGCCATGATATCATGATAACGCCGTTGATCACCTGAATCTGAAAATAATTTTTTTTGGAAAAATCTCCTTAAACTGCTTCAGCAGACTCATTTAATCTATATGCGAGCAATAAAAGCGTTATTAACTCGGCAGCAGAAATGAATGCTCATCAAGCCCAAAGGTCAGCGAATACTATGAGTTGCTCTATTATATTTACGTAAATTAGTTTAGCGGTCTGGCCTTCCAACCGGGGAAAAATCGAAACTGCCTGCTGGTGTTCGAGGTGCGTGAGCTAAGTGATAAGCTCGAAACCGCGTCAGGTCACAAGTGGCTTTGCGGTTGAATTAATCCGTTATTTCTTCAATCGCTTTCCGTATTTACTCACCTTTTCCGAATACTCCACGACATCTCGCATGTTCCGCGGATATCCAGAAACCAAGTACGTTTTGGCATTTGGTGCCATCTTCATCTCCACCATCAACACTTCAGTAACAGTTCTGCTGGACAGTTGACCATAATCGGGGATATCTAGAAGAGAATCATTTAAAAATAAATACATATACAGGGTGTAATACTATATATTTATTAAAACACTTAGCGCAAACATTGTATGATAATCTAAAGCCAGATCCACGTTTTGTTAAGGAATGTACTGCATATTTTATGATATTCACATAATGTTCTCTGAAGTTATGTAGAGTGTTTCACAAGACTAGTCAAAATTGACCCCAAAGCAATTTTATTTAAACGGTGAGTATCGTCTGAACCAAGGAAAGTAAAACATTTTTTCCCATCCAGAAGAAACTTCACCGATCTGGTACTGGTGAAGATCATTACTGTATCTTCTTTCTTGTTCTTCGTCTAACAGCTCTACAACTCTGTGTTGGTTCTGCAGTGCGAATGTACAAATGAGTATTCCAGTAATCCCGTTTTTACATTGACAGCAGCATTTGATAGGGGCAGCACCTAATTCTAGGGTTGGAAATAATCCGTCAAACCTTCAGCTGAATTTAAAAAAACGCTTAAGCATCCTTATTTCTTAGCTTCAAAATTGGCCAACCCAAGCGAGTAATCAAGCAGTCAAACCATGCAAGAAAAAGTAAGTTTTAATTTGAAAGTCTGTGAAGTGTCTTAAGAAAATTAATAAAACAGTAAAATGGATTTTGAGTTAAACAGTTTAGAGTCAGATGATTTTTCAGATGATGTTGATATTTTCGGCATTAGATAAACTTGTCTGAGTTTTGTAAGGAATAATGCATTCTACTTTAATATCGTAAATGCTCCAGCTCTTTAAAATCGTTTTATGAATACAGAAAGAAACTAGTCCCAATCTACTTGCACATGAAACAGTAATTTGCGCCTAAGAAATAAAATTTTCTAATCAACTCAATGTCTTGTTGGCCCGTTAATGCTTACAGCTTGAACCAGAGCACGAGTTGAACTTTAACTAATCTAACGATGGAAATTTTAATATAAATTACATTTATTTCTCTAAATTCGCTTCCACTCCTTAAGCAGACAGACCCGATTTTACTGACTTTTAAGCGTATTTCCAAAAATATAATTTGTGAAACTTATCTAATGCTATGGATCTAAACCGCGTTGCGTCTATGGCTTCTAATAACTGTTTTTTTTTGTAATATTTTAACAAAAAGTGAAATAAGCAATCAATCAATAGCTCATAATATCAGTCTCGGCAAACAATCGTTGCAATTAAAAAACGTTTACCCTGCGGTTACAGAAAAGACCATCAAGCTTGTGGCGAGTATCATAATTATTGATAGACAGATCGATAAAAATATATGGCAAGAAACAGAACGTGAGCCGAAATTATTAATTTGAGCATAGAAGGGAAACGCTCCATTTTGTATGAAAACATCGAATTTTGAGGAACTTTGTCTTAATTTATTTTTTTACTTCAAGACTTTTAAATTAAAACTTTGATTTTAAAGTAGAGCTCCACACCAAAAAAACCATTTACCTTGGTACCCATTGCCTACATTGATTAGACTCGAATATCCATCTACAATAAGTACAAATGTTTCGGTTAAATTGTTCAATCCAAAAGGGGGATAATAAGTTGCGTCTTATCAAAATGAAAGTTTATAATCTACTTAGCAGTTTTCCCTACATTTCTCTAGAATAGCCAAATCTCCAACCCTTTGGGTCTTCACCCTGAATAGGCTAAAGAAAAACTCAATTTCCTTATTCTGAAAAAGGTTTTTGCAATCTCTCAGTCTTCCTGGTCATTACGACTGGAAACTTTTTATTTGCACATTGAATAAGCAATCGCTTACCAATATTATCTAGTGATTAAAACACCGAAAATCAAATAAAACTGAAGTCGTTAAAGGCTATTAGGGATCGATGAAAGAATTATCATTTATTAGACAATCGTTGCTTGCGTGTAGTCTATATCCGAAAAAGAATGTCCATTAAAAGTTGGAACCGGTGTTACTGGATAACGTAAATGGCGACAATGAAATAAAAAGTTATTCGTTAGTGAAATCGTCGGGTTCATTTCAATCGAAATATGGTGTAGTTTTCAACATACGTACAGATCTTTGGGGGAAGGAAAATAAGAGGTTGATGGATTACGAAACTCCTCTTGAATGGAATAGTTTGTGAGATAGCAAGAGTTTAGGATTCCAAAAGTAATGGAAAAGCGACTGAAAGTCTCATTGAAGGATATGAATTGGGAAATAATTCTCAATTAAAGTTTCTAAAAACTCACCAGTTTGAAGCAATGGAAATTGCGAAACTGGTGAGGACAAGGTAAAGCTGCAAGAGCAGTGGAAATTCTTAAAACTTACTTGCAGTGTTATTAATCTACAGTCTGCCCATTGATTTTACAAAAGCCTTTGAGTCATCGCAAGGAAGATGTGGAGGATTTTTGAGCAAAAAAGGAAAGTTTATCTGAGTGAGTCCCGCGCAAATTTATCTAACTCAAAATTTCACCAAAGACGAGTTCAAACAACTTACCATTTCCAATGGCATACTGCTGGAGTAAGTCGGACATATTGATGTGAACAATCTCCTTGTTCTCCTGCATCAAGTTGTCGCAATGTGTCACCTTACCGCTTCCAGGGCCTCCTGCAAAGTCAAAAAGTATGTTTAATTTAATTTAAAAAAATATTTAATTTTCGCTCAGAAATCGCTTTGAAAATAACGCTTAGTTCGGGCATTTTTTGCATGTGGTATCGCCAACTGGAAGCTTTTAAGAGCAGAAATTAGGTCAGTAATTGGATGGTGGCTGCTCAGAATGGAAACGCTGAATTAAAAAAATGGCATTGCCATTTTGTAGAGAAAAAAATTGCGATAATAAAATATTATTAAAGTTCTGCAAATTTTGTTTTTTCGAAGATCTTTGTTCAGAAACGCGCAACCTTGCCCCAATTCAAGCGCCTTCGTGTGCCAATATTGATAAATTATATAAATCCAGTTGGAAAAGTATTTTTTTTTATGAATCACTGTCTTTTTTTTCGCTTTGTAACTTTCAAAGTTGCGTTTGGATTTTGCTGTTATTTATGCATGGCAAAGTTTGACATTTTTTCGCAGAAATCAATGAAACTAAACACTTTTTATTGTATGCATTTAGTAGGACAAAGCCTCATCTATAAGCGGAAGTCATTCCGATTCCGAGTGATCAGGCGCAGGATCAGGATAAAGAAATGTTTAAATTGGGGCCTGGTTTTTGCAACTTGGAGTTTAGCATTTATTTCTTCTGACGCTGCATCAAAGTGAGAAAATTAATTTTGGATGCATTTTTTAAGTCAATATCGCTTTTATTTGTGGACAACGTGTCGATATTCAGATTTCTTCAGGCAATTTTGAACAATCCTCCAAATTGCGTTTGATTTTCGAGGTTCTATTTGCAGGCCAGGGTTTGCCATTCTGGAATCAACAAAGTCAGAGAGTCGCTGTTGCTTGCATTTTATAGAGCGATATCCGTTCTATAAGTGGGAAAAGTTTTGATTTTTATTCTTTATCGAAAAAATTTCAATGATTTTTCAAAATTGCGTCCGGTTTTCTTGATCGTTCTTTGCAGACCGGAAATTGGCATTTATTTTCCCCTAAAACTTGGGAAGCGAGAAACTGAAATTTTTGCTGCATTTTATAGTGCAAAGCCTGTTATATAAGCGAGCAAAGTTTTGATTTTTAGTTTTAGTTTAGTATTTTTAGTCATCAGCTGGCAATTTTCAAAGTTGCATGTCGTTTCGCGGGTATTTAAGCAAATCGTAAACTGTATGACATTTATCTCCTCAGAAACGTGCAAAGTGAAATGGTATCTTTTATATCACGTTTCTAGGGCAAACTCTGCTCGATAAGCGAAAAATGCTTCGATTTTGAATCACCAAGAAATTTTTGGATATTTTTTAAAATTTCGTATGCATTTTGGGCTGGTTTATGCATGCCGGAGTTTAACAATTCTTTCTTCAGAAAGCAGGCAAGCTAGAGAGTTACACTTACATGGATTTTAATCAGCATAGTGTGTTTTATAAATAGTGGAAGTTTTGATTTTGAGTCAAAAACAAGCTATTGCTATATACAAGCAAGCTGTATACAATTTTGTGGTTTCGTATGCAGGATTAAGTTTGGAATTTATTTCGTTTTCAGAAACCAGTAAAGTTGCGAAATCGCTCTCGATGGTGTTTTGTAGAGAAAAGTGCGTTCTATATGTGAGCAAAGTTTCAATTTGACTCCTTATCAGGTTACTTTCATTTTTTTTATTTGCGATATCATTTTACCGTTGTTGATTCAAGCCCAACTTCGGCTTAATTTTCTCAATATGTATAAAAGTTGGGCAGTCACTTTTATATAGATCTCGTGGGGCAAACTGTTTCGATTTAGACTCGTCGTCAAAGAGTAGTTTTATCCTCAACTTGTTTAACTATTTTTCACAGGTAAACACTAATAATACTTTTCAGCTGAATCTACACTACGAAAATATGGCTTTAATCACACTGAAGCCGCAGCTGAACTAAAATGTGCATCATACACTGTTCAATGATGCGAACACCTAATTTTTGTTAAATAAATCTGAACTTACCAAGTACAAATATAACGGGAACTTTCGGTGACTCGAACTGCACTTGAGTGTTGTTGTGCATGGGAAACTTCCCAGCTGAAGGAGTGATGACATTTCTGGTGGGATGTGGAGAGTTTTGCGCCCAACTTTCCGTCCCTTCTTCGAAATCTTGAGAGCCATCACTATGTTCTGAAATTCGATAAAATCCATGGAATAAGCCGGGTTTAAACCCACCGCAAGCCATCGTGGCGTAACGCCTAACGATAATCAAACATCATTCTCAGGCAAAGTAGTTCACGAACGTTGCACGGAAAAAAACCTTCCAACACTTAAAGTCTAAAATTAATCTACACCTCAAAGAAGTTCGCTGAATAGTCATCATTAGCTCGGCATTGTTCGTAGGGAACAATGGATTCGCCAAAAAACTAAAAAGTGCTCGAACATCATTTGTGGAAGTTGGCTTTTGGGCTGAAGGAGCGCGATTAATTGTTTTAAAATCTCTGAGTAATTGTTCAAGGTAGAGTCTGAAAGTTTGCAAATATATATAATTTTCACGGCTTCTAATAACGAAAATACACAATTGAAAACAGCCAGTTTGCATTTGAAAATTCATTATGTTCACAACTTAATCGTCTATGACATACACATTGTTAATAATTTACATGGCAAACATATTATGCTTATACCAGGCATTATTGTAAAGAAAAACCGGGCTGAATTGAGTGGAAACTATTACAAAACTGTCCACAGGCAGCGTGTTTGTCCTTGTAATGAGGTTTGAAGTTAATTACACAATATCAGCTGCAGTTACATTGTTGTGCAACGCGGGCGCTCAATAATTAAACGTGTTCGTCGGTAGAATAATTAATTCGTATAATTATCTGTTCGATGAGGGTGCGTTTTGCTTATTTGACTTTTGCTACCTTGGAATTTTTAGTGGGCTTTGTAAAAATTCTATTTTGTGTAACTGGTTTGTTCACTGCAAAATTTCACTCGCAAGGGTCTAAAAAAAAAAGTTTTCAGCTGACCAATATGCACATTTAGTACGTGCCCTATTTTGTTCCCACTGGGTTTTTATACGCTATTTTTCTATTTAAAACCTTTTCCCATCAAGTGTTTGAGCTGTTGTTTTTGATTTTCTCTGTTCCTAAAATAAAGTGTGAAGTATTGCGGATTAGTGACTCAAATGATGATGTTGACAATGAAAATGTTGGACGGTAGGCTGACGAGAAGCAAACGTTCAAATGGCTTTTTTGGGAATAATAATTTGTATGTTTTTTCGCAATAAAAATGTGGGTTGAAAATAACATTTTGCATTATGATCATAATTGCTTTTAAATATTAGAGTTCAGTGTTTTCCGCACTCCACTAATCTGCTGAACAAAATGAAGATTAACCGTAAAATTTGCCCAAACTTTGGACCTGGATGCACTTTGATTGCTGCCTGGGATTTGATTTCTGATTGCTGTATTGTCTCGTACAAATCTTTTTTGTCAGTTCGTGATTTTTCTATCATTAAGTAGTTCAGACAAAGCGTCTTCAGGGTTGAAGCTGAAGCAATGCAAAATTTCTGAGTGTCCGACATACTCCAATTTGAAAAATAAAGTTTTGATTGGGATCTGAACACCAAAGGCATAAAGATAAGCCTTTTTTAGTGGGGGGGGATTTTGAATTTTTGTCATATCACTATTATATACAGGGTGATGTAAAAAAAACGTTTAGGTGTTGAAAGGATGATGACAATTTTCCTATGGGTTCGATTTTGAAAATCTAGAGTTCATTTGAAGCTGAACCTTTATACCCAAATAAGGACAAACATTTTATGCACATTGTTGCATGAATGGGCGCATTGTTTGAAAGTAAACTTCACTTTAATTGAAAGTCTGCCAGATGCTGAGATTTTGGCGGCTGTTCTAATTTGGGCAACTTCTAATTCAACCCTGTATAGTCGACTGTAAAGTTTTGGTTTCAACGAGAGCTTCAGATTTGTAAAATCGGGCCAAGAAGAAGAATGTTATCACCTCAAGACCAGAATGTTGACTTTTTGAGGCCACCCTGTGAACGAAAAGTTATGCTGAAAATTTCGTTTGTTGTTCCGAGATACGGGGTGTACCTTTATGATCTTGGTGTTGAAATCCGAAAATTTTCCCGTTTCAACTGGGCGCAAGCCGAGGTTTCAGAAAATTAGCATTGTTTTAAATTTCACTGTGTAAACACTTTATCTGAATTACCTAAATTTTGCCAAAACACGGATTCACATAACAAGTTGGGCTAAAGAACGCTTCAATCTAAAATCAAATCGCTTGCACCAATCAGAATTTGCCCAGATCCAAAATTAGGGTAGATTTGACTGGCAACAAAGTTGAACGCAAAAGAAATTTGTTTGCTGTTGGAAATTTGCGATTAGTTCAACTACAATTTCTTCAGATACTTAAAATTTGCGCTATTTCTAGGAGAAACCGTAAAACTGAATTTTGAGAATGGAAAACATGAGAACAAGAAAAATTTTAAAAGGTGTAAGAAAGGTGATTAATTTCGCCTCAGATTAATCCAGTTTTGGATTAACCTGAGGCAAAGTTGCGTAATTTAGCGATGAATGGTTTGATTATTTTCCGAATTATTGCAGGGATTTATATGCGGTTTTTCAATCCTTTCTACCTTTCGCCAGTGTACGTTTCAGATGTTTTAAAAGTCAACATCAGCTTCTTCCGGTCATTGTTGTACACTTTAATGGGGCAATTTATTTTTAAAATGCGTCGTTATCAGATTTTTGGACTAAAATATATATACAAAACTGTTGAAATGTTTCTGCAGCAACTTATTTTAAAGAAGAGTTAAAATAAACCCCCAATATATTTTTGCTTTAACTTTCAGAAACATTTTTGAAACCATGAACACAAAAATGGCGAAATTGTGTTCAGTTTAGATATAACGGCCAGTACGTTGCCCAGATCTGATGCCGGTAGATTTAAATCCATCCGCAATCGTAAATTCGAGTTTTTCGATCAAGATATTTTCTATATTTTCGAGCAATTTAAACCCAAGCCCGCAACAAGTTTTGTTAGTTGACTACAATGCTGGTAAATTTCAGGAGTTTTAAACTCTTTGAACAAGCAACTGTTTTACTCCTTTGGGGAAGCGACAACTGTTGAACCGCATGCCTGACGTTCAAATGCTTAACCTACCTGTATCTAAACAGATTCCCATATTCCAGTGTTCACACTTTAAGTATAATTGAGTAGAGCCCTCAAATCGCAAGGATGTAAACAAAGACGCGGATGCCGCAGCGATGGAACCGAATTATTCATGGATAAAACCAGGCGATCGGATCGAGTTTGTTCCAGGCAACGAAAAAGCAACAACTGGATCGTTCCGATTCCAACTACATCGTGTTGAACGACAACGGCGAAACACTGAAATCGGATGAATTGGCCAAATCACCATGCAGGAAAAACTGTGGTGGCATAAACGCGCGCTTCGTGAAACTACGATGGAAACTGAGCATTTTTCGCCGAAAACAGCTTAAATCGAGAAGTTTGAATAATTAATTAACCTTTCCATTGGTTTCCATGGGGAGTTTATTTGTTAGTTTTCTTGACCGTTGTCCATTTGCGCATGTTTCTTTCGAAACTCCCGGTCCGCGGAGTACATCGATTGGATAGCTATGAGTAATGGTTACTGCTGATGGTCTAATGTCTTTTTTAATAAGCGACAGAAGCAAACCGTTTATAGTCTGGGTCTTTAACATGTCCTGGTGTTCATTAGCGCTGCATGGACTATTTGAACAAAAAATGGTGTGCGTCACGGGAGGCTCGACAGAAGTGATAACTTCATAAATTAATAGAAACCATAAAATATTGAACTTGTTTAACGCATGATGTCAATAACAATTTTATTTTGTAATTTTAATATTCTTGTTAGTCTAATAATTTATAAATGGATCAGGAATAGGTAAAATTTAATTTAATTTCCCTTTGAATGTAAAATATATTTTTTATTTGCAACATTTAACATTCTTTAACGAGATGTTGTACATATTGCTCTTCTTGGGTTTGTATGAACTCTTCTTCTTGAGTTTCTGTATTTTTTGTCGTAATTTCTTATTTGCTTTGTATAATCTTTGACGTTCAGCACTATTTCGTGGTTGGTGAAAGCTACTTTGAGTTGATCTATTACTTAATGCTCCTTTTTTAGCACGAAATCGTGTTTGGCGTTCAGCATTACTTAATACTTTTCGCATTGTAGCATGTTTTT